TCATCAAGGTCTTACTCAGCCAGAGGCATATCATTTACTCACAATGAACCTGCCAAGTGACCAGTCTGCTTAATACAATGTGCTGCAGTTTTGCACCAGTGGGTTTCACCTGAGAAACAAACAAGTGGAACAAATCAGGCACAATGTGCCCACCACATCAAACACAGACACCTCCTGAATATTAAAAAGGCCATGGGAACTTTATAATGTTCTCTGTTTGTATTACTGAATGCAATAGATTCATGTACATAAAATGTTGTTGCACTTTGGCAAAAAAAAAAAAAAAAAAAAAAAAAGAGAGAAAACAACAAAACAAGAGAGAAAGGCTGCAGATTGATCTTTCTTCTACTGAAGTCAACAGGAGTTTTGCTGTGCAAAACTGACACAGAGAAGTTTCATTCCTCCCAGAGCAGCTGCTTAAACACAGCAGGTCAGTTTGGATCAGGAGGGGAAGGAAGACCGGCCAAAATAGAGAGAAGGTACTAAAATGCAGTCATTTCAGGTGTATCAACCCAACATCAATTTACAACCAATAGCAAAGCAGGATAATAGGAGTCTGCCTCATACGTTCTGTGAATGGAGAATAAAACAAATACATACACATATCCTGTGAGCAATAAATTAGGAATCATGATTATGATTCTCCTCCTAGATTTGCATCATAGATTACCTCTAGACTCGTAACTTGTTTCCCCTCCTAAAAGATGCTTTCCTCATTCAATTAGCAGAAGCTGTTCATTGCATTATCACACCTAGTGTACAACTAAGAACTATTTCAGGTTATTTATATCCAAAAAGACTCAAATTAAAGCAAGCATCTCAACCTTGGAGTTCTTAGCTTTCAAGCTTCTGCCATTTCTTTAATGAACAGATTGTAATTTCTTGGGAGAGGAAAGAGAAATACAAACTTCTTTTCCACACTCTATTCCTTAAATGCTTGTTGACTCTTTTTGCCACATTTCTGCCTTTCTTCTCACATGTTCTCTATATCTCAGTCCAATACCTTTGCTCAATGAACTTAAGCACCTCTCCATGAATTCCAAGTCCCACTTTCCTTCTGACCTTCCCCAACAGCTTTCAACCTCACATTTCAAAGGGGTCACTGTGCACTTGCAGCCCAGAAAGCCACCCGTGTCCTGGGCTGCATCAACAGCAGTGTGGCCAGCAGGACAAGGGAGGTGATTCTCCCCCTCTGCTCTGCTCTCATGAGACCCCACCTGTACCTCTGTGTTCAGCTCTGGGACCTCCAGCACAGGGACATGGAGCTGTTAGAGCAGGTCCAGAGGAGGTCCACGAGGATGATCAGGGTGACCAAGGACAGGCTGAGGGATTTGGGGTTGCTCAGCCTGGAGAAGAGAAGGCCCCATGGAAACCTGTGGTCTTCCAGTACATAAAGGGGGTCTATAGGAAAGCTGGGGAGGGACTCTTTGTCAGGGAGTGCAGTGATAGGAAAAGGGGGCATGGCTCTAAACTGAAAGAGAACAGATTTAGATTAGATAGTAGGGAGAAATTATTCACTCAGGGGGTGGTGAGGCACTGGAACAAGTTGCCCAGAGAAGCTGTGGATGCCCCATCCCTGTAAGTGTTCAAGGCCAGGCTGGACGGGGCTTTGAGCAGCATGGGCTGGTTGGAGATGTCCCTGCCTGTGGCAGGGGTTTGGAAATGGATGGTCTTTAAGGCCCCTTCCAAACCAAGCCATTCAATAATTCCATGATTTTCCCCTCATGAAAGCAAAATTCTCTTTTGCCTCTACCTCCCCTGCATTCACAGTGTCTCAGCACTTCTGGCTGTCATTTTTCTCAATAAATGAATTTTTTTTTCTAAAACCAGGTGTGAGGCTTGTGAACCCCAGGGGGAATGTTAGGGCAAAAAATGGATCTGATTAAATATCTAATAATTTCTCAACAGGCCTGGCAAAATACAGATGACAGAATCAGGGTACTTACTGAGAAAAAGAGAACATTTGGGGGTAGACTCTGCAGTAACTGGTGCTGTTTATCAACCCTGGCTATAATTGCACAAGTCAATAAGAAACAAGCTAGCTGTGCCTAGGCAATGTCCCACTGACGTAACTGAGCACACACAGCCAGATGAAACAAGCCCTTTCTCTTTGACAAGCATTCAGTAATGGGTTTGCTACACCTGAAGCAAAGTTTTATTTCAACACTTACTTCAAGAAAGCAGCAACTGGTTGTCCATGCCCCAGTGATTTGTGTAATTGAGTTCATGACATAATATCACAATGTTTACTAAGAAAGCAGCAGATATTAGTTACTTTTTTATTTTTTTATTTTTTTTTAACAAGGCCACGTATATATATCACGATTATACTTGGGGTATTCCTATTGAAAACATCACTTTAATTTAGTAGAGGATATTAAAGTTTGTTTATAAAACATACACTCCATGCAAAGAGCAGCAGATGGAGTTAACAAGCTCACCTGCTGTTTTACTTATAAATATTCTTGTAAGAGGCTGTGTGTTTTAAATTCATATGAGACATAATTTGTAATTATTTCTTGGGGAGGGGACGTAAACACTCTGAGGAAGGTGGCATAGCTCTGGGAGAGGGCACAACTCCAAGGCAGAAGGGCTAGATTTAGAAAATAGGAAAAGTTGGCTCCTTATGAAGAACAGCTGTTGAATCTCACAGGCAGAGAGAAATAAAGGCAGCCCTATAATGCAAGCTTATTTCCAGCTTCATAAAATAATATACACAGGAAGTAGATTTCAGGTGCCCACAAAATAAATTTTGAGAGTGTATTTGGACATTCAAAAGGACAGATTCCTTACAGAGAACTGACAGTCTCCAGCTTGAAATTGCACTGGGCTGAAACTACACAATTTACCAAGTGCTTGTTCTGGTTCTTCAGGATATAGCAATGTCTGAAGGACTGCAGTTCCTTAGGAGGTCCAATGAGAAATGCAAAAGCCACCCTTCTACGAGCTAAGTGTAGCCTTAATCAAGTTTTCAAGGATTCATCACCCTTGTCCTGGTGACCATGGGTTTCAGCAGCTGCTTTCAGTGACTGCATTTCTACATATGTGCAAGAATGGCACAAGTTCACAGTAATGATTTGTAACACTGGTCAAACTGATATAGACAAAACAGTAGGGAAAAACATATTAAACAATACCAGTTTGAGAAAGATTTGAAAAATATAGTGGTAAAGTTAATTAGCATCACCCTTTAGGTGGCAAAAAGTTCAGGGAGTATGTTTTCTACCTTGAATACTTAGGATGCAATTCCCATTCCAGTCTGGGCTATATGTTCAACACAGATCAGAATTTCCTGCCCTGAAGTCAGAGAAAATAATTCACAAGGATAATATTATCTGTTTCCTGCTTTCTATTTGTCTTTAAGTGACACAGACTTAACACAGCAGTATGATACTTCAATTATGAAGAACATCCCAGTCTGATGCAACACCTGCTATGGACAGGCAAAAAGTAATGTTTCCTATCCATTAAGCACGGGCAACAGCAATAGCCTGCTTGCTTTGCAATGGAACGGGGCTGCCTGCAACATGTTTTGCTTAGTTAAAAGTATTTGGAGCTTGGCCTTTAGAGTGTGTTTGTGTACATGTAATGGCCCCAAACATTGGAGCTGAATTAATACAAGCTTTTGTGAAGGCTCAATAAGCTGCTTTTGTTCCTTTCTGAATTAAACATTTCACTAAATACTAACCTTACATAAATAAATGTATAAATAAACATTAACATCCTGGCATAAGAACTGGGGCCTAGAATGACTGTATAACCACCACACAGAGTCAGGCTTTCTAGTGTGCGAGTGCGTGTACCTTCATAATTATGCAGTTAATTACTTTAAGCCAGGAAGACTTGTAACAGTGTGTACTGCAGAGCAGACTCCAGTTAGCTACTTATTCTCCACAGAAGGGAGAGAGAGCAATTGAAGTGTCCTTGGGCAGTAAAGAGATGCGAATGTTTTTATCTTCCCTTTGGAAAATGAGGGAAAAAGAAGCAGCCACCACTGTTTTATGCAGAGCTCTGAAATAACACAGATGCTTGTATCACATCCCACAGATGAGAAACCAAAAAGAGGCAGAGGAATTTGTGACTCCTGAAAACAGCACATTGCTGAGGCTGAGAGTTAGGTTTCCATGTCCCCTAGGACAGCAGAAAGGTTTTAGGGATCTGCATTTAGACAGAAGCATCTAAAGCAGACATCAGGTTCCTGAAGCTTTTTGGAAGAGAGTCCTCTGTCCATCACCTTATTCATACCAATTTCCCCGGGATAGCAGATGCTTGCTAAAGCAGGGCCTGAATGAAATCTGAAACATTTTGATTTCCTTGATTTGACTTTTATGAAACAAAGATGGAGAACATCTGTGCCACTTCAATATTTTTTTTTTTTAAATAAAAAACAGCCCTGGATTCAGCAGCATCCTGTGCTCCATTTAGTGAACTTCTATTTTTCAGACATTTAATTGCTTGAAAGAAAAAGGAAAAAATGAAAACTTTACTTTGATGGATGTCTCCTAGTCAAAGGCTGTGCTGTGCTCACTGGGATTGCTTGTAAGCAGCTAGAGGGTGCCAAGCATACAACAGGAGCAGTGTCTTTGCTGGCAGAATTTTAAACCCAAACAGGCAGGACACTGCATGCTGGGCTACTCTCTAATACTAAAATAAGATACAAGGACTTTTAATATTGCTTTAAGGAAAAAAAAAAAAAAGAAAAAGCAACAGTGGGAGATGACAGAGAACAGACTGGCTGCCTAAACACTTCAGAAGCAAAGAAGAAAACCAGAAATGGAAAAAACATCCAGCCTACCTCCAACATAGCTAACGGCACCTTCACTGTACATCAGAAACAAGGCATTTCAGTTCTTGATGTCTATATACTGGGTTGTTGCTGCTCCACGCTAAGCTTCAGTAGCTATACACAGCAAGAGGAGCAGGGACTGTGGACAAAGGTAGCCACCCTCTCTGCAGCCCTTGCTGCTTGGCGAGTGTGAGGGTCTCATGTGATTACTCACCTGGCTTTTATTCCAAGACCAAAGGCCACTGTCCATCCCTGGCAGGCATTGCCTTGGCATTTTCTGCTGGAGGACTTGGGGGAAGAGGTGATGGGTGGCAGTGAGGCTTAAGAACTGGAAGGTAACCAAAAAAAGAAAAAGACAAAAAGTCTCACTCCATCTGAGTTCATATAACATATTTCTCAGTTTATATAAATGGAAAAAATAAAATTCAAGTACTTACAAGTGTAGTGCAATCAATTCACTGCTACAAAAATCAATTATTTTAGACATCACTGTATAAAAATAGCCCATGACATCAGTTCTGCTTTTCCTCAGCTCCAGAAAAAGCTGTGGGCTATGAGGGATATGTATAGGTTTTGAGTTTAAGTTGAGTATTAAGGACTGTTGGGAATAAAACTGATACTAAGCCTGTTTCATTCATTCAGGGAATAAAATCTACTGAAGGGGAAAGCAGAAAAGAAAGAGGAGGCAGTTTCTCTCTACCACCGTGCTTGATACACAGCCATCTAAGAGGGCCCAGAGAAGGCCCAAGAGGGCATTTAAGAGGATCCAGAGAGACTAAACAAGGATGGAGGAAACCATGCTCTGGGGCTAAACAGAGAGTACAGCTTTCCAGAGCACCCCAAGAGCCACAGGCTGCCAACACTACACCGACAGTAGCATTAGCTGCAAACATCCCATGTCAGCTTTTAATCTCTTCCTCTGCTCCTCTCTCACAGAGAGGAACGACTTGTGACCTTTGGGGAACTATTTTCTGCCATGTTCCTGAGCTTTGAGAGATTTGGATTGTCTTCTTTATCGACAGTTGCAGTAACTAGGAATGGGGACCAAAAAAAAAATAATCTGAAGTCTTAAAGACTGTAACTCTAATTTGTATTAAAAACAAAACAAAACAAAACAAACTAGTCATTACATTGCATAGTTTGTAATGAAATTTTGGTAGCATATAGTGCAAATCTGTTTCATTAGTGAGGTGACAACAATAATAAAAAGATATTTTATTGAATTACTAATCTCCCTTCAAGTGACAGCTATGTGTTTTCATGGAAGACCACAGTCTGAGTACCAGTTAAGGTCAGAGTGTCCATATACAAGGTTTCAAACCACGTCATTAGAAAGCACAAGCAGGACATAGCTGTGGTTTTGTTTCCAGCAGAAGGTTTCAAAATAACACATTTTTAGCAGAACATAGAATAAGAAAATTGATACAATAGGAGCTGTGGGAGAAAAGGAAAGTTGCTAAGGGGAAGAGTTGTCATAGTTTGCAGATTGTTTTATCAAGGAAATAACCATGAAGAAAATGATCTCAGTTTGCTTCCAATGAAGTAAGCTTTCACATGAAGTGCTTAGCTCAGGTCTTGTATGCCAAATAGTGTCTGTAGTAGGAGTTCTTCCATATGCACACCAGATGACAGCTCATCTTTGTCCTTGGCTGTTATCAAGCTTCTGACCTGCCACAAGTCACTCAAGGAAGTGAAGCTGCCACCTCAACATATCCCACACCAAGCTCTGGGCTTTGCTTCCTTCTACCTTATCTTCTTTGGAAGTGCAAGAACTGGTGCTGTGTGACTCACACAGAGACATAAGTGATTAACAAGTGTAGCGAAGTCTGAGAACAGCCCATTTAGTAAACCAGCCAGCATAAACCTACAAATAAGGGAAGAATTTTAAGAAGACAAGAATTCCCTGTGAATGATTCACAAATACTAAAACCTGCCCAAATTTGTCACGTAACATTTTCCAAGCTGAAGTAGCGTACTAGCCTGCAGCATTTGAGATTTGCTAAAGCAGCTCACCCCTCCACCCACAGTGCCCTTTCAAAGGTAGATCTCAAAGCACTTTGCCAATTGGGTTGATATCATTTTGTACCCTTTTTAAGTGGGGAAAAGGGATGCTGCCTGCAGAAGTTCAGCCTGACAGCCAGAAGTGCAACCAAGAGCAGAACAAGGGTCTCATTATCCCCAGACAGTCACCTTCTAGTTTAAGTACGCAGATACTCTGTTTGGTTGGGGCAGGGAAGGGCATCATTCCAAATTCAAATTTGTGTTATGAATTTAATTTAATTCTTTTAAAATCTAAGTTTTTTTCCCCCCTTATCAAATATTTTATGTAAGTTCATAAGAGAATGTTTGTTTAGACAAAAACAATCACACCCTGCCATAATTACCCTTTATGTCCATCACACAACAGTTAATGTTTAAATGGTCCCACCTATCAGGGTTATGAGGACATAATTGCAACCCTAAGCAAATTTACACAGTTGTACTACTTAGCCCCACAACAGAATTGGCACGCGACAGAGACCTTACAGAGACAGAAGACACTGGGAGAGTCCTTTTAGGACCATTCCCCAGTGAAAGGCTTTGCTGTGAGTTTACAGGGTGATGGGAGTACAACAGCGTGCAACAGGGCTGTGGGGGAGAAGGCAGGAGCAGGGACAGGACAAATTACCACAACATCAGCTGCAGAAAATAAAATATCCCAGGCGGTGCATCATGACCAACCAGCAGCTCCTCTTCTCTTCATCTGTCCTCCAAGATGCCTGTCACTGAGGAAGAGGGATGAAAGTGTGAGCAGGCAAAATGCTAGAGAGGTGAAGAGGTGAAGGTCCCACAAACTTACTTGGTACTGCAACAGGTGCTAATTCACATAATTGCCACCACATCATCCCAGAAATTGTCTATTTTCATTTACTGTTTCCATTCGTTCCAGTCTAGACTCATACCACAGAAAACAATTTGCCTGTCAGGCACTGGTTATACAAGTGGAAGAGGTCCACTGTCCTGCTCTAGCAGAAGTCCTGGGTTGGCCACAAGTCTTATAATGGTTTTAGTGTGACTTTCCTGAGAAGTAGTATCAGGCAATACAACAGCTAGTTCAGCATTAGGTACATTATGTAGTTCCTTGAACTATAAGAATAGAAACAGGTTTTCTTGGAATGAAAAACAAGGTCCATGAGTCCCTCTCAAATATGCACCATCAAAAATAGCAAAATAAACTTGTTTTCCTAAGCCTTGGTGATGTAGCTGCACCACAGCTAGTTTACAGTGTAAAAACATGTCTTTCACAACACAAAATTCACCCTCCTCAAGAGCAAGGGAGGAGAGCAGAAGTCTTATGGACTCCATACATTTTGTGTACCCAGAACTGCCCAAGCATTGTCTGAAAAAATAACAAGCACAATCCTTCTCATCACAACCCAGCTGCAGGGGGTTAGCATATTTGTCTGTCATCCAAATGAATGGTCTTTTATATACTGTTTGTTGCATGAAGTAGGAGGCACACTGGTTTTACACAGTGACAGACACATTTCTCCAGTGAGGAAAACTGGCTGTCCTGCCATGAAAAGTTGTCAGCATCAGGGAAGAGACAACGCTTCTTCCTTCAGATGAGGAGCACCATCCTAGCAACAAAACACTGATACTCTTCCCTATGGCCATTATCACATGACTCAGTAGTCTCAGCACCACTTGTCTAATCTCTGTCTGTAATCAGAGATTAGACTAAATATAAACTGTAGCACACCAATGCAAGCAGATGCTTGGATTTTAGCCAATTTAGAGTTCAAGGACTCCACCTTCAATCATTGCTTTTATTGATAGTTACGAAAAGCTACATCCATCAGAAGCTGAAACTTTAACCTCCTACTGTGAAAGTAAAACCCTCAGCATAGGAACACTTACATTAACAATCATCAAATTTTGGGGTAAGTACATACCAAAAGGGTGAAAAACAGCCCAAGGAAGAGACACTCCTGCTTTTCTCTGACATTTTCTGTGTTCTCCAAGCCCTGTCTATAAGAGGGAGGAGGGAGTCTCCAGGCCTACAGCCTTGCTTTCTCTCCACCTGGCTCCATTTTGGCTGAGGAAGGGCATGAACACAGCAGCTGGAGGTATCAGAAGACTGACAGAGAAAATAGGTTAAACAAGGAGCATTTGCACTTTTTACAGCTTGAAGCAATCCCTTGTTAGGGGCCTGAAACCAGGGCCTGCAAAACCAGGCCTTCTTTTATAGAGCTTCCAGCCCATAATATTTATTGTCTACCTTTGTCACAAAGCACAGGAGGGAGAGGATTTTGCTGCTGGATTAACAATGAACCTTATCACTCCACTAAATTCCAAAACTTCTGCTGCAACTGGGACATGTTCTTTCTTTAGGACATCCTGGGGCCGTGCAATTCATAACATCTGCAGATAACAGGCAACTCACCCTCATTGCCTGTGCTGCTGCAAGGAAAGCTGTATCCTGCTGGCCCACAAAACCATGTCCCTCTCTTCAGTGTTTAGTGAAGGTTTTCTTTGCAAAACCACGGGCATAATTGTTACTTAGTGGTTTCAAAAAGGCACGCTACATATTCCCCTGAAAAGCCAGAGAGTTCCTTATTTACTTTCTCATAAATACTTGTCAACCATTAAAAGCTGTTTTGCAACAACCCAAGGCAAGGGAGTAACATTTCCCTGTCCTTGAGAGCTTCAAAGTACAGCCCAGCCCAACTCAACACCAAGCAAACTGAGTATCTTGCACTTGTTGGAGGGGCTAATGATGCATGTGTTCCTCACAGGCCTCCTCCTGCTGCTCTGCAAGATGGGGGCTGGCATAAACAAAGCACAGACGCAGCATGACAGAGCTTTGAGGTGTTCATGAGGCAGCCTCACATTGAAGGCTACCCCAGGAGAGCGGAGGTGGCTGCACAGCACATGAGGTATGGCCAGCAATACATAGGGCTCCCAGGGCCCGCTCCTCAGCCCCTCTCAGGAAAGCACCTTAAAAACCTGGGAGCAAACCACTGGATTCCAGCATTCAGTGCATCACTCAAGGACATTCCTGGGAGTATAACCTAGTGTATTTCTGTCATTTTGATAAGAAAATGGGATTGTTACTGTTTTGTTTGTTTGTTTTTGTTTTTGAGTCTTACACCTCCTTCAAACCCCTAATTGACTCTGTATCACTGAACTCAGGAGAGCAGTAAGTAATTCAGGACTTTAGCACTATCTCAGAGGTCTTGACTGTGAGAGTCCACAAAACCCCAGTGCAAAACAAAACCAGCTAACAAAAGAAAAAAATAAAGAAAAAAAAAAAAAAGAGAGAAAAGAAAAAAAGAAAAATCCCTGAGCACATTAAAACAAGTTAACAAGAATAGCAGTCGCCTGGCAAGCTTGTGTCAAGTTGTGTATGAAATCAAAAGCAGAGAGCAAACACTCACTGTGAGCAAAGCGAATGATTTGACTCCTGGGGATTTGTCCCATAGGCAGAGTTAAAAGAGCTGATTTCCTTCCCTGTGCAGTGGTGAATCTGTTGAACAATCTAGAAATAGAATAACTTTAAATGTCATCAGAAATATCTTCTCTTCCATCTCCCTGTGTAACATGGAAGGGACTGATAAGAATCCCTTTGTGTGAAATCTGATTTTGTTGGTGCTTTTGTGCAAGTAATTCAGAAGGGAAAACAGCGGGAGAAGGAAATCAAAATCTAGTGCACTTGTTTAGACTTGACCTAATAACTGCTGCAGTTCCACAGACTACACTCCATAAGCATATTTTCCTACTGTTTGTAGATTGTCTGTGAACAGCTGAAAGACGATCTGTTTAAGCAAATTTTTCTTTCAGAATGATTTCCCTAAAAATTTTTAACATGAATCCCTGAGCTGTGTATCTTTTGTAGGCATGTTGCTAGGAATAGTCTGTATTCAAAATGCTAGCCAGACTGGTTAAGTCTGAATGGCCTGAGTGATCACATGAAATTATATGAATAACTTTAATTTTTTTCAGTCTCAGCTGCATATTGGAAACAAGTACTCATGAGTTTATATTCAATATTGCTACACATTTTTTACACTATTTCTACGGAGATCTCTGCCATTACCAGGGACAGGAGCAGTAGTGGCAGCAGAGTATGGAGTATGAATAGCAGGCGTTCATAACTCGAGCATATGAAATGCATCTGAATCTTAAGTCTCTTTCCGTTTGGAAAAGAAAAACTGTATCTGTTTAGTTGATAAATCTAATCTGAGAAATGTGTAAGAACCAGTGGTATCAGCATTTGGTGGCACTTTATTACGTGCTCAAATACAAATGCACGCTAATAGGACATTATTTAATTTACCAAGCTGAGGACTCAAGGACTGAGAAATGCCGAAAGCAAGATTACTTTATAGTTTGAGGGTGCTCTTTTCATGCATGCAAACATAAATGCACAATCATATGAGTTCTCTGAGGTTTGTAAGAGATATTTCATGTTGCATCTGTCTTCTAACACACAAGGGCAGCAGTGGAACAACACTTCACCATCTGCTGGGAAAGCAAGAGAGTTAATCTGAGCTGAGATAAAGCTTACATGTAAAAGAAATATTTTTTCATTAGCCTAATTACTGTAATTAGAAAAAATGAGAAGGCCTTCCAGGCAGACAAGTCCTGTTAGGCATCTGTAACAGAAACAGCCAATTCCCAGACAAAATAAAAATAAATATATACATATATATATATATGTATGAGGTATTTGCTCTGCAAAAATAAAGAAATGAAACCAATCGCCTACAACCTAAGGATCTGAACTCTGTGGAAACAGCAACTCTCCTACTTACCAGCAGATGCAAAGCTTTGCAGATGGTCGCATGCTTGCCAGAGGGGCAGACCCTGCTAAGGTCTTCATTCCCCCCAGAACAAGGCAGCATCACATGAGACTGAAGCATCCTTGCTAAGGGTACATAAACATTACACACCTTAAAGAAACCTTTGCTCCAGAGCAATGAATAACAGAAGGAGATCCCGCTCAGGCATCTGGGCCTGGGTCTGTCCCCACCAGCCCACCTGCAGTTGTACTGAGCTCACAGGTGGTGGCTGGCACTTGGGTATTCTCTCTGGCATGTCTACTTTCTGAGTTAAGTTGTTTTTATGGCCTGCCTCCTCATGATGCTGGTAGAAAGATCCAATAATTGCAAGCACTGCATTAAGAAAACAAGCAAACAAACAAAACAGGTGGAATAGATAATAGAAATGACTAAGGTGATGGTCCAGTGGACCAGATTGTGAGCAGGGCCTGTTAACAGTTTGGGCTGCCTTTCTCATTTAGGAAAGGCAGTAAACAGAGCTTCAGCTCTCAACCAAATTGTCAAGGATTTACTCTGGCTGCCTACCTTGCAAATTCTCTTGCTAAAGTTGCAAAATCCACACAGTGATGCTCTTCACCCCATCTCTTCCTCTAAACATCTTGTGAGTGTGCATGCTTACAAGTAACCTCAGGTTGGCTTTGTCAGAGAAAGAACACATTATTCCAAAAGGTACCCAGCTTTTGGCTTTTTCAAACTCCCCTGAGTGTTGCTGGCCATCAGGTTAACACTGCTTCTCCCCCATGATTCTCCTGGTATGGCTCTGTGGTGGCCTGATGTCATACCTAACCACAGAAGACCATGACCTAATATACCATAACTGTTAAAAATATAGTGTCCAACACATTGGATTCCTAGCCTCACAGGGAAAATATTTATGCCATAAAACTTCTTTCCTTTGAAAACAGAAAGGATCTGAAACATGCTATTTAAAATACCAAGTAGACTATGGGGAGTAGAAACATTAAGTGGTTGAGTTTTCTTCTGAGAAAATAGAAGTATTAGCTACTTCTGTAGAATAAGAAAAATATTGTAAAGATATTAAAGGATGGTTTTAATAGTCTAAAGACATTTCTAATATTCTAAAGACATTGGAGGATGTTTTTTTTAACATCCATGTACCTTTGTACCACACTGGCAGTTCAGCAGCTCAGCGTTGCTAGAGGGGTGCAAATCAGTCTCCAGGTGAGGGTGTGGCTCAGGCAGCATGGAATTGCAATTTAAAAAGTTCATTGTTTGCAAGCTTGAATGGAAGAACAGAGTTATAGGAAGGGACATGTGAAAATCCAAGTCATCAGCTGCAAAGACTGCTGGTGAGGGTAATGTAGGAGGAGGCATTTTCAGGTCACTGTGTACAGGCAGGGGACACTGAAAGGACAGAAGTGTAAAAACAGATGAACCCTGCAAGACACAGACTTCAGCACTGCCACTAATCACTGTTTTTCTTGCAGAAACTGAGCTTCACTGCTGTCTTACAAGAGTGCCATTTGTGCTTACAGCTAAACTGACTTATCTTGAATGCAGCCCTTTTCATGAGGCCTTGTGGCCTGCAAAGCTTTCTGTCTGATTTGTTATTGTTATTATTTTGTTTTTCCCCTTGCCTCTCCGTGTCTGCATTCCTACACGTAAGCCCGGCAGAGGCTGGCAGCCCTGTGAGTAGGGATGGGCAGGAATTTCCTGGGTCCAGCTCTGGGCCCCAGCCTTTGATGACAGACAATGCTTACAGCTACCTCCTGCTAGCTGAGACGAGCTTAATAGCATCACTGCCTAAACCAATTCATTCTTCACAGACCAGAAAAATGCAAGCACTGCTACCTCTGATGGTCCTTAATGCATGTATTTCCATTCCTACTCCCCCAGCTCCTTGTTGGCATCCCACAGGCTTTAACTGAATCCTGGTCCTGCCCTAGCTGCGGGTACCATGCCCTCAGAGGGGCACCAGCTCTGCCACAAATCCAGCAGGCTGCTCAGGGCTGTGAAGCCAGCCTAAGAACAGGGATTTCAATAAAATCCTAGTTTTTACTTTTGTTTTTTTATTTTCTTTTTTTTTTCTTTTACTTTTTTTTTTTTTTTTTTTCAGCTCTGTTTTGCTTCCTTACAGCACATCACACTAGAAATATGGGCAAGTGTTTTTTGGTACTGAGAGCTGCCTTTTCATTTCGAAAGAATGTCCCCACCAACCACATTCCCATGTAAGGGAAAAGAAGCAATTACTGGTAAAGCTGCAAAGTAGGAAGGCAAAGCTGTGCTTCCTGCCAGACCTTGCTGCCGGCTAAGTATGGCCCCAACGGTTTCAGTCACTCCTGTCCCACGCTGGGGTCTCGGCTTCCAGTTTATTGCACAGTCTGACATAACTCATGTTTTATATGTATTATTTTTTGATTGAAGGGGAAACAACCCCCTGATCAACTGGAGTGCATGGAAAGCATTAGAGGAAAAGGTGACAAGAAAAGATCCTCTTACCTTATACTGAAAGCATGCCGTACATCAGGCCAGGAAAAGAGAGACATTTGTAAGCTGCAACCGAAACTTCAGGAGTATAAATCAGCTTATGTAGGTGGATGAATAAAATATTGGTTAGTCTTCAGGTGTAACCCTGCAGATAAGAAAAGAGTGGAACAGTTTTTATTCTCATCATGCAGACAAATTCTGTTTTTATAATCAAGCAATTTCAAATTCCAGAACATTGGGGGAGGTGGTAGAAAAGGAAAAATTGGGGAGATACAAAATCTGGACAGAGGAAAGAATTTTGGAACAATGATTCATCTACTGCTAAACAAAACAAAACAAAACAAAACAAAAAAATGCTGAATTCTTCCACCCATCTCCAGGACCCCACTGTTTCAAGAAGCTCCTCCATTCAAGGAATGAAAACTCTGCTCTGACCGGAGATCGGAGCTCTCCTTTATGGATAGCAGGAAACTTCTTCAAAGGGCCAGTTCATGACCCAGCTTGAGAGCTGGAAATAATTAAGCATTCTTGTCAGAGGTCAAAGTCATGGGGTGAAATTCCTGGGAACTCTAAAAAACCCTGGGTTGAATTGAACATTTGGGCTTTTTTTTGCCCATCATGGAAAGGCAGCAGGCAGTCTGGGGAGAGTAACAAGCCCTGCCTGGGCTATCCTGCCTTCCCAAGCCATGACCATGCATTCTGGGACTCATCACATGCTCTTGGTCTAAAGAAGCAAAGCTGAGCTTAAAAAAATATCTGGAAATAAGAATCACAGCCAAATAAAGTATTTATAGTAGCACCAAATATTAACTGAATGTGAAATCACAAACTAAGATCCTGATTCATTTTCTGCTTCTGATGTAACCCTGCTGAATTTAATGGAGCACTGGATGGCATGAGAGGAATCTGTTGCTAAATCAAAACAACAACACTGCTCTGGTCCCGGGGAATGGCTGTGCTCCATCGTATATGTTAGAGCTGCAACACAGCCTATGTTTGCAGTGGGGCTGGTGCTACTACTTGAAGCCATGCACAGTTATTACTGAGAGGCTACACTCAATGTGCCTGCAAGCAGAAAGGCAAGAAGGGAAGAAGATGGAAAGGAGAAGGAGCAGATAGATGTCTTCTCCACATGCTGCGTGCTGACAGGAGACATGCTCAAAAGCATCTTTATTCACCCTCCTGCAAGGAATCAGGCCACTTTTTGCTTTTCTGTGTCCCTTAGTCATTCAGAACAAAATATCTGATATCAAACTGCTGCATAAAGTAAAGAGAGTTTGGTCAGATCTGAAATCCCAACCTGATGGACATCCCACTTCACAATGGGACGAACTGAGGCCAAAGTACAGCTACTGATGAAATTTCAGCATAGTTAGGGCTCTGGCACAGTGGGATAGGTCCATCCCCAGTGCAGATGGACTCTGTCTATGCCTCTCCTCATGCTCTTGTTGTGCCAGCTTGCAAACAGCTCTGCTCCATCAATTCATCCTTGTTTGTCCCCCTCCCTCCTTCCTGTTCAAATTTCTAAACCCAAAGAGCAACTGAAACCATTCTGTGACCTTCTGCACTGACCACTCTGTCTTTCGTAAATCAAAATTGATTTTCTTTGCATGGGAACATCCAGGATCTACCCCCTGACCTTCAGCCTGAAGTTTCATGCTAAGAGAAAGACAGAATGTGAAAGCAGCATTTGACTGTCAGTGTTGGCAAGAAATATGAGCCACCCTCTACTAGAAAACAGTTTGCTTCTGTCCAGTGCCTGGAAATATGGGAACTGCCAGACTCGCTTAGACACAAGGGTCAGTATCCCATGTCTGACACTAGCCAGTACTAAATGCTTCAGAGAAAGGTCTGAGAAGCCTGTGGCTGGCAGACACAGGATAATCCCACCCTTATCTTTCTGCTTTGGAGAACAGCATAGCCAGACACACACAAACACAGGTGCATCCATGCACAACAGGAACTGCCTGCCTTCAAGTGCTCTCCTCCTGGAAATATTGCAATGTCCTGTAAATACCAACCGAAGTGTGTGCCTCTTGCCCCTAGGAACTGACTCTGTTTAGGAAGGGAATGAATAGGACAAGGGATGCTGAGGGTTCATCAACTGTATTTAGCACTAGAGTTTTTCTCTATCTGTGTGTAGCTAATGAATCAGCTGAAAATAGCCATAAATACAACCCTGTTCACCAGCCCAGGGTCAGCAGTCTAGACAGGAGCTAAAATACTATATTTTTGACAGAACTAGCCTGTTTGAATAACTTTCTAACCCTTAGCCCACATTTCCACAACCTAGGCATATTCATCATCATGATGCAGTATCCATTTTCTACCACTCCAGGGTGAAGAGTTAGGCTTCCCAATGACTTCAGATAAGTTGTCCGTGATCTTCAAGTCCCTAAGGAGGATAGAAAGAAGGGAGATGGAAGGAAGGAAGGCAACAGGCAGAGACTGCAGAGGACTTCAGTCATTCCAGGCTGCTTGGCAAGGTTTATCCTGTTCTGAAGGATTTGCTTTTGTTTCCCACTGCCCATTCTGAGCCATGTGAAGCAAATAATAACGTAACTCTTATCAAGAGCCTTGAAGAGCCTATGCAAGATGTATAAGGAGTGGCTGAGGTCTCTTGGTTTGTTTATCCCACAGCAGAGGAGGCTGAGGGGAGGTCTCATGGTGGCCTGCAGCTCCCTCACAAGGAGAGTGGAGGGGCAGGCGCTGAGCTCTGCTCTCTGGGGACAGCGACAGGACCCAGGGGAATGGCATGGAGCTGGGACAGGGGAGGGTCAGGCTGGGGGTTAGGAAAGGTTCTTCACCAGAGGGAGGTTGGGCACTGGGACAGGCTTCCCAGGGAGGTGGTCATGGCACCAAGCCTACTGGAGTTCAAGCAGCATTAGGACATTGTACTCAGAGCCAGCAGTGTGCCCTGGCAGGCAGAAGGGCCAGACATGTCCAGGGGTGCATCAGGCACAGCACTGCTAGCTGGCTGAGGGAAAGGATTGTCCTGCTCCACTCTGCCTCACCTCAAGTACTGTGTGAGGTTTTGGGCACCACAGTATAAGAAGAACATAAAACTACTAGAGAGTGTCCAAAGCAGTGCTACAATGATGGTGAATGGTCTAGAGTAGAAGACATGAGGAGTAGCTGAGGTCACTTGGTTTGTTTGTCCTGGAGAAGAGCAGGCTGAGAAGAAGCCTCATGGCAGCCTGCAGCTCCCTCACAAGGGGAGAGGAGGGGCAGGTGCTGAGCTCTGCTCTCTGGGGACAGCAACAGGACCCGAAAGAATGGCATGGAGCTGGGACAGGGGAAGGTCAGGCTGAGTGTTAGGAAAAGGTTCTTCACCAAGGGGGTGGTTGGGCACAGGAACAGGCTCCCCAGGGAAGTGGTCAAAGCACTGAACCTGTCAGAGTTCAAGGAGCATTTGGACAATGCTCTCAGACACACGGTCTGATTTTGGGTGGTCCTGTGTTGAGCCAGGAGTTGGACTCAATGATCCTTGTAGGTCCCTTCCAACTCAGGATATTCTGTGATTCAGTGAAATCCTATTCAATAGCAAACTGGGCTGAAGCTAGGAGATGGGTAAAGGGGCACTCAGCCCTCGCCCAGCAGTACTGTGCAGCCACCTGTCAGTGACCTGTCCTGTAGCATGGGATCATGGGATTTCCTCCTCCCACTCCAATAAATGCTTTTCTCAAAGTGAATATTTGCCTCTCCTTCAAGGATGAATCCCACCTGCAGCTGCTTAAGCTAGAAAACCAGAGCGCTCCCTCACAGATGGGCTCCAAAAAGGCACTGGGAGGAGCAGGGCAGGTTTCTGAGTCTGAGATATCTCACTGTCAAGCTTGACTGCCAAACTGATGGCTGAGGTGAAGTCCTCCATGGGCAGGACGTGCCTGACGTGCAGGCAGATCACCCTTTCTACCTGTATCAACAGGTCTTTGTGGCATTGTTGATCTGCAGGGAAAAATTGGTTTTATATTGTAAAGCTTCAGCTGGAGACTTGAGGTGAGGCGTGTCAGGATTTTGGAAAGCCACTGGAAAGGCCACTGGATTTCATGGCCTAATTTCTCCCTCTATTTTATCTGTTACGTAAACTAGATCATTATGAAAACATTACACTGCTCATCACCAGCAGCTTGGAGAGGGTAGGAGCAGCACAAGGGGAGGAGGAGGTCTGTTGAGCTGCTGGAAAATATTGTTGTTGATACAGTTCAGGAAAACAGAGACTTCAACACATTTTAATTAATGACTGTTTCTGAGCTTCAGATGTCTTGCGAAATACTTTCTATACCAGTAATGAAAATGCATAAAATTGTGGAGAACAGTAGCATGATAATCCACATCATCTGATACTACTGCTGTTTGATAGCTCTTCAAACAACATATGAAACAACCCTGATCTTCCTTGATCTTTCTCTTTACTCAGAAAGGAGCCCTACATAAAGGTACTTGTAAGTCTGCTTTCTAAAATCAGTGGGCATGAAAAATAGTGTCTTGGCATAAAAGACGTGCTTCCTTGGTATTAATGGAGCAAGCTATTTTTAGTTTGTTGTAAAGTATTTTGTGAGGGGCCTCTCTGAATCAGTCTGAAACACATAAAATCCTCTTCCCTCATCTGGAGAACATTGTACTCCCTCTCTCTTGCAAGGTATGTTGTTGAACAACAAAAGAACAACCTCACAGGCAGCATTTTCTGGAAAGGATCCTTAAATAGAAGTTCTCCTTGCCCTTCCTCTGGGTCCACCCAGGGGCTCAAACTGATTAACAAGTGTTGGTGGTTACCCTCATATTGGCAAGTTTCATGCTAGACTGAGGATGCTGTTCCCTGTGGTTAATCCCTGAAACTATTAAGGAATAAAATGCTACGTACAGTTGTGCCATGGCGAAGCTGAGCCTCAGGAGCATGGTGGTCCCCTAAGAGCTGCGTAATTCCTGGTGGCTGCTTTGCTTGCTGTTTGAAATACTGCCAAGGGTACAAAAGCTCATGTGAAAACACATTCCTCCCATACATCCCATGGCTGAGGCTGCTGGAGGTGCCGGGTTCTGCTGGTGTGCTGCCTGTGGGCTGCTGCTCAAGGAGAAGCAAATATCTTCTTCCATTGCAAACGGTTTCCTGGGGAAAGCTGGGGGCTGGTGAAATGGAATTGCTTGCCAAGCACATCTAACAGAGAGCAAAGTGCTGCCATTTGTGCAAAGAAAAAACAAATGCTCCCAAACTCAAATAGTTCAGCCAAAAGACTGAAGTTTTTGATAGGTCGCCAAACTCAGTGTTCTTTCATGCAAAATGCTAAAAAAAAAAAAAAAAAAAAGGAAAAGTCATGCCTGTTCTAGGGGGACCCTCCACCTTCCTATTCGCTCATAAAATGTTCAGGATTATACCACTGTTTTACTGTTAGCCTTGGGAAAAAAAAGTTATATAGGCCATTTGAAAAGAGAT